TATGTATCAAAATGTACAGTGCTTGTTGAGATTCTACTTACACCGCATTGTCCATTCAGTCCTTTTTATCACATTTTGGATCCTCGATTATATATGTACATCGCCCAAATGGGCATGTAACATATGTCAGAGAAACAAGAGTACCACACAGCCTCCCCTTGGTTTACTTAAACCACTGCCTATACCATCGGATCTCGGGGACTCCGTGTCTATAGACTTTATGGACACTAAACTGAGAAGTAGGAATGGGAAAAGCCAAGTTATGGTGACAGTTGACAGATTTAGCAAGTTTGTTGTTTTTGTGCCACTCCCTACTGAAGCCAGGACAGACTTCGTGATTCGGGAATTTTTCAATCATTGGGTAAAGGACTACGGACATCCCTTGACTATCGTAAGTGATAGGGATACAAGGTTCACGGGCGAGCACTGGCAACAGCTAATGAGTGTGTATGGGTCCAAACTGACTATGTCCTCAGGCAGATCCTGAGACAAATGGATAGACTGAGCAGATGAACAAAATGTTGCAGCAGGAGCTCCGTATGTACATCCGACCAGATCAGGTTGACTGGGATGAACATCTAGCTAAGGTCGCTAGTGCCTGTAACAATTCTGTACATTTGGCTACAGCACAAACGCACATGGAACTACATTTAGGTTGGCGCCCTTGTAGGCCTATCGATTGTCTTAACCCTGATCAAATACAAGGACTTCCGCCAGGCACTAGCGAATTTGTTGTACAGTATGAGAAAGACTTAGAGAAGGTAAGGGAGAACATCAGGAAGGCACAACATCAGATGATAGAACAAAGAAATAAACAACGCAGACCTTCACAGTTCACTGTAGGAGATTTGGTCTGGGTGAAGTCCAAAGAGTTTCTCCCGGAAGAGAACATTTTGCAGAAGTTGTTGCGGCCGTATAGGGGACCGTGGCAGATTCTCGACGCCATTGATGTGGATGGTCCTTCCTATGCTGTTGAGATTCCTCCACATTTGCGCACTTACCCGGTGTTTCATGCCTCTGAGTTGCTCCCTTGTGTCAGCAATGAGCTATTTCCATCTCGCAGATCTATGATTCCTCCTGATATGGATGGCAAATATGATGTAGACCGCATTGTTGCCGAGGACGTTTATAGACCGGGACGCAGGGGTAGACCCCAGCAGCAGTATAAAGCCAGATTCGCTTATCAAGAGCCCTATGAAGATCACTGGCTCACTGGGGATGAGTTAATTGAAACAGTACCACACATAGTGTCTTACTATGAGAGAGCTAGGCGAGGAATCAACATATTTGATAGGTAAAAATTGTAACTTTCTTGGAGGACCTCGAAATTAGGCCGGCGAGAGTGAGACACATTCCACGATGCAGAACCCAAATTCGAATTTCAGGGTCAAGGTCTCAGGCCAAGTCGGTCAGTTTCAGAGAAGTCACAGTCGGGTACCTTAGGAGTCAAGTCCAACAGGCACCCAGTAAACAGTCACATCCCAGAGGCAAAGGTTGTGTTCTATAAGCAAAAGTCACGTCTCATATTGAAAAGTCATATCCCACAGGCAAAGGACACTTCCCCAGGCAAAAGTCGTGTGCCAGAGGCAAGAGTCACATCCCACAGTCAAAAGTCGTGTTCCACAGGTGAAAAGTCTTGACTCACAGGCCCAAGCAGCAGAACACCAATGAAAATTCGGGAAGTACCAGGCCTTGACATTCTGAAGCAAGCAGGCTGTGGGCATGTGGTACCAGTACCAAGTCAAGCCACAAGAAGCAGAAGCTGGGACGAGTTGAAGCTCAGTCCAAGTCAATGTAAGGACTGGCCAGCCACACTTTGGACAGATTGCTCATTTGTGAGAACACTGAGAAGTGTGGAAGTGCTGCTGAAGCGCTTGTGCGCTATCTGCGGGTAGAATGCACGCGAGAGCCCTGCTGGGGCAGCGCTGCACTGAGAGGGCAGCCATAGCCGCATAGCTAGTGATAGGAGGGAGAGCTGAGTAGCAGCGGATGTATTCAGAGTCAACATTCTCAAGTAGAGAGAGAGGGAGAGAGAGTGTATACATGAGGAAGACCAGAAGGGACAGAGAGAGTCAGAGAGAGAGAGAGGGGGGAAGACATAGAGGGAGAAGAGAGTCCCCTCCCTTTGATGAGGATGCTGGTATTGGGTTGCTAAATTCTGCGCTGTTGAGGGCTTGGTGACTGGATCTCCGAAACTGTTCAATGCATACTTGCAGCACACTTCTGCGGTGCGCCGTGCAGTGCGCGTGCACCATGCGCCATCCGCAAATTAGTGATGCGCTCAATTTTTTATTTATTTATTGATCTTTTTTTATTTGGTTTTTAGGAGTGCGTGTGTATGGAAGAGGAGGGGAGAGAGAGAGAGAGAGAGAGAGAGAGAGAGAGAGAGAGAGAGAGAGAGAGAGAGAGAGAGNAGAGAGAGAGAGAGAGAGAGAGAGAGAGAGAGAGAGAGAGAGAGAGAGAGAGAGAGAGAGAGCAACGGATCCCCTTGACACGGCACAGAGGGCCCATGCAGGCAATCTGAAGGGTCCTCGCAGCAATGTAGCGCAGACCCTCCACCAAGATCGAGGCAGGCAGTGAGTATGAAGTAGAGCACGAGCTGGCCGAATATATACTCAGGATTTGAATTCAGGTCTGTGTTTCGAGCTTTCGGCAGTTATGGGTTGCTCACATAGCTAGGCCCTGTTGGTCTCTGCACGTGATTCTCAGGGCTTGGCTGCACTACTCACGAAATGTGCAAAATTAGAATGAATCTTCTGCAGAACGTGAAATAATACGCCGCCCTATGTTTCATCTAACGAGAAAAAAGTGAAATAGTGACCCATAACCGAGATGCACAGACCTGAACTCGAATCCAGACTATATATTCTCTGCCCACGCTTACGAAGTGGAAGTTTGAAGTCTATCTCTTCTGTAAGTGGGGTCCTAGCTAATTCGGTGTAGGGCCCCTTCGGAAAAGAGGCTGGACACAACTAGGACATGAATGCTCACATGCATAGACATGTGCCCACAGTTTTGGGGTATGGCGTGGCCCCGACTTTTCTCCCTCTTGCTTTCTGATTTTTAGAAGAGAGGGGAAGGTTTGGCCACCCCACCCTGTCCTTTCAATTTTTTATTTTTATTTTTGATGCGCTGCATCACGTGCGCGCGCATGCATGCGCGTGCGCTCTGCGCCGCATGTGCCGTGGCCCTCGCACGAGATGCACCGCAAGTATGGTTTAATCAAGTTTAATGTGATAATTTGTTGGAATTTCTAAGCTGGCATACCTGGACTTTGCATCTCTGGATTCCAGTGTGGATTTCGTGTAATCTTTCAATGTGTGTGTGCGTGCTCAAGGTGTCGAGCAGTGAGGCTCAATGCACAACTCTTCTTTAAAAAATAAAAAAAAAAGAAACTAGATGACATCTTCTATTTTTTGTGCTTAAAAGTTAAAATTGTTGTACTTCTATTTTGTTGGTGGGAAGAGGCAGAGGGAAAGCGCCTTAGTACTATGGCTCCTTTTCCATTCTGGAGATCATCAGTTCAGCGTAATTTCTGCACAAAAAAAGAAAAAAATCAGCATATTTTATTATTTTCTGTTTCATTTTTAAAGGGTGTTATGATCCTGGCCAATTCCGCAGTACACTACTACACATTCATCAGAAAGTACAATGCCGTCCAATTGCAAAAAGAAATGAATGAACTTGAGAGGAGAGAGAGGGAAAGAAGAAGAAGAAGAAGAAAGAAAGACGAAGAGGATGATGTACACCAGCATAGACCAATGATAATGTTCTTCTTCTTCGCCGACCACTCTCCTCCTCCTTATCTCCTCACCTCTTATTCAAACAAGAAAATAATGATAACAATGTTGAATGACTGAACCAGAATCAACGTCCAAATCCCTCTTCTACTGCAGGTCTCACATGAGGTCCACCATAGCCATGCCCACCCTTCTCCTTCCTCTTCTCGAAGGTCAAGGCTATGGCGGACTGCTAGGGCCTTGCCCTGATGTGTGGAAGACAACTCAAGCAGCTATGGCTATTCTAGCTCAGGCCGCCATGCCTGATCTGCCTCGAAGCTTCTTGGTGTAGCACTACCCCGCGGGGGGCCTTCTTGCTGCAGCGCCCACCAAGGTGATGAAGATGGCAACCACCATAGCGAGGTAAGTACCTCTGGCGCTCCCCCTTTCCCAGTCCCTGTCTTCCTTCTCCCCATGTCCTTGCTCCTTCCCCAGCAGTGCGGCTCCAAGCTAGCGCTGCTCCAGCCAGCGATCCAACCAATGTGGCGCCAAACTTGCACACCGAGAGGAGCACCTTGCTCCTCCTGTAGATATAGCAGCCTGCTTGCCTCTTGGCGAGTGACTTCCTAGGCCGCGCGGCCTCCAAGCAACCGGTACCTCGTCCTTTCAGAAGGAAACATCATTGCAGACTCTGATATTTGCCCGTACAGGCCCTAGACTCAGACTGGTTGGACTGGTACCCGCCCAGACCTAGCCTACTACTATTGGGCCTCTTAAAATGCCAACTTTTGTCTTCTTCTGCTCGGCCTCGACTTGGTGTGGTACCGGCCTACCTGCTACTTGAGTGTTTTCCGCTGCTCTAAGTGTCACGGGCCTCTTTCCCCTCCACTTGAGTGTTTTTCCCTCTGCAACCCTCAATGTCACGGCCACAGGTGAGTACCGGCCCTTCGGGCCTTCTGAACAACCAAGTGCCCTTGCGGGTCACACACACACTCAAGCCGACACGCACTCAGACAGGCATGGAGACCAGCAAGCACGCACTGACACAGACTTAGAAAACTCAGCAACAAGCGGGAAACTCAGTAAGGCATACATTCCATGCGCAAAACTCAGAAATCAGCTGTGTGTCTCAGTCCGTGTTTGGCAGGTCATTACAAGGGGCATATTCATTTCAGCACAAGTGTTTTTCCCGTCAACAAATGCGACAGATAAGACGATGATGCAATTACTAGAAGTTGTGCGCCAGCCAAGCCTCCTTCTGGATGTGAGGGACATCCATACCTTACACTGTAAATGTTGCATTCTGCAGTCCCTGCATAGAATTCAAAAGACCCATCAGCCTGTCTGTCTGCCAGAACAACAGAGGTAACAGTACTCTTGAGCTGAGCTGCACACATAATCCTTAGGCTGGTTGTGCTAAGAAGGTTGACGGTTCCATCCCCTCCTCCTACAATCACAACGTTCTTGTTGGCCATGGCCAACGAATGTACGCCTTGGCATATCATTGTTTTTGGACCATGGTGTCGGAAAAGCCTGTTACTTAGACTGACCTGCAAACAACAACGATGAAGCAAAGACGTGGCTCCCCCCCAAAAGTAAGGGCAGCAGTCGCTACCCTCAACAAAGTAAATACATGCACATACCAAGTAGTAAGTTTTGCAATATACAAAAGACACATGCTATTTTTGGAACAGTCACTTGCTAGACCACACAGCGTATTGGCAGGGACATGGGGAGGCAGGTAGACAGGCAGTCAGGCACTCATGGTTCTTCATCTTTTTTCTTTCTTGTTGCTTCTCCGTGCTCCTTTTTGCTCCTTCTTGCCACTTCTTGCTGCTTCTTCTTGCTGCTAGTTCTTGCTGATACTTCTTGCTGCTACTGCTGATGCTTCTTGGTCCAATCTGTCGTGGAAAAATTGAATGAGATCTTCCCCAATGATTGGCAAGAAGTGTACCCAGAATTCTTTAGTCAAGCCGTCAATGTCTAGAGCTTTATTGTTACCCATCCTTTCCAGAGCTTCTTGGAGCTCCGTTAGGGTAAGCGGCTTGTCAAGTGACTCTCACTGCACCTGGTTTACTGTCTTGTCCAGGTATGAGAGCGTTCTGTGTCTGGCAGCAACAATCTGTGGCATCAGGGGGTATACGGTTTTGGTTGCATACTTTTTCCTTTTTAATTTTAAAAGGGCGATGGCCTTGAGATAGCATCATTGAACTGACTGACCCCAAGTATTTTCATAAATGTTCTGGTCATTTGGTTGTATCTGGATTCGTGGGTCTGTATTTCAACGGTTTGTGGGTGCACCAACTGAGCTAGGCACATCAGCGCCCTTCGACGGTCTTGTGGGACGCATAGCAAGTCCTTGCCTTGTAAATGGAGAAGCAAGTAGCCGTCGGCGATGCGATAGTGGCTAGCCGGCGGCTGATCTGAAGAAAGTCGCTCGTAGAGAGTGGCGTATTCCGGATCCGACTTGAAGGCGTGCACAAAATGCTGATGAAGGTCGTTGTCGAAGTTGAGCACGTGATGGATGGCTGCGCAAAGATCCGATCTTCGAAAGAGAGCATCCGCAGCTTGGTTTGTGCTTCGGTGTGAAGTCGAATTGATCGATTAAGTACATTCACCGAGCAATCGTGCTACTCACCGTGTCTTGCGTCTTGTAGTAGGTCAATGGGTTATTGTTCGTCATCCAAGTGAACCTACGACACTTGAAGAGGAAGTGTCGCCAACGCTTAAGTACCGTGACGAATGCGAGCAACTCCTTCAGCGCATCAACCGAGTTGATGGGTGGCACCTTTTGGCTGAAATACTCAACCGGATGCCAATCTACTCTGTCGTGTTGTTCCAAAACTGCACCAATGGCGTAGCCGGAAGCGTCCGTAGTCACTCTCGTAGGCAAGTTGGGATCGTAGATACTCAGGAGCGAGGAGCAACGTCGTCTTCAACTTTTGGAACGAACTCCAGACTTCGTCTGTGAAATGGAAGGGTATCTTTGGAGACTGCAATTTGACAAAGGTGCGGCAATCCGTGCATAGTCGTCGATGAAGTGTTGGTAGTACGCAACCAATCCCATGAAAGAACGAACCTCTGTGGTGTTGGTCGGTTCCGACCAATCTTGGATGGCCTTGATCTTGTTCGTGAGCGGACGGGTGCCTTGCGGCGTCAAAAAGTGGCCCAAGTACTCAAGCTCTTGTTGTGTGAATTAGCACTTGGCTCGATTGGCCTTGTACCTAGCCGTACGTAACCTATCCAAAACCGCACGTAGATGTGCGACGTGCTCGTCCAAAGTCCGGCTATAGACCAAGATGTCGTCGAGGTAGATGAGCACGAACCGGTTCAACATGCCGCGAAACTCTGTCGTCATTGCCGCTTGGAAAGTGGCCAGGGCGTTCGTGAGGCCGAATGGCATTATGACCCACTCGAAGTGCTCGTATCGTGTTTTGAACGCGGTTTTGTACCGATCCCGTGGATGGATCTCAATTTGGTGATAACTCGACATGAGGTCCAGCTTGGAGAAGCACGTGGCGCCGCCCAAGCACTCAAGAAGATCGTCAATGCGCAGGAGCAGGCCAACATTCTTAACGGTTTGTGTGTTAAGTTTGCAGTAGTCTATGCATAGCTGCAATTCCTTGTTCTTCTTCCGGACGAAGAGAACGGGTGCACCGTAGGACGAGCAGCTCGTCGAGAGGAGGGCGGGCGTCCAAGAAGCACATGCTCATTTCCTCAAGGTCGTGCCATATGATGGAGTTGCGAATGCTTGCCACAGAGGTCGCGTGGCAACCAATCGAAGGGTGAGGCGGAGGAACCGTGCATGGGACGAGTACGTCGTTCCGATCATAAACGTAAACGGTGCGGCGGTAGAAGTTTATCAGGTGGTCCTCGCTTCGCAGCCACGACATGCCCAAGATTATGCCGAACTTCGTGTCCAAAATGTCAAAGGACATGGCCTCGCGTGCGTGCGAGGCAAAGTACACGGGTGCCACGTCAATGCACCAGTCAATGGACTTGTGCATGTGACCGTCGACCAACGTGACTTGCGTGGGCTGCAACTTCCTTCGAACATGTGGGCCGAGGCCGGCGCGCACCATGAAGTCTTGGCTGATGTAGTTGCGAGTAGCTCCACAATTGATCAAGGCGCTACATGTCACCTTCCAGATCTGAATGTAGATGTAAAGTAGCGGCGCGTTGATGTTCTTGTATCGTTGCACGACGTACGTGCGGTCGATCTTCGCAATAGACTCGCGAAGGTCAACAACCGCTACTCCGCCGTCCGTCAACGGAGTTGGTACTGTAGTGTCCCAGTACTTGCGTAGCTCCGCCATCAAGGGATTGCAATGTGGTTTTGGCAATGAACTGGATGGGGGAAGAGACAATCATAGGAAGTTTTCCGTCATCAACATGTCGAGGTCCTCAAGTCTTGACCACATTGACGAGTCCCCGAATGATAGAAGTGTCGACGACGAAGTCGGTTCATTTGCCAATGGTGATGAAACCGTGCATACGTGAGAGTCTTGCACGTGGAGGGTAGGTATAACAGAGGGACCAACTGAATAGCGTAGTCTTCAAAGTCTTCCCGAAGACGTGCGACATCCACATGCTCCCCGACGTGTAGGAGGTTGCTAGCAAGGCAACCGTGCTCGGCGAAATGGAAGTGGAGTTGCCTCACTTCCCGTGGAGCTCAGTTTCTCGAGCTTTGTCGTGGACTAACGTCGTCTTTGCCCTTGTCAGGGCATTGAGTGGGAGTGTGCTTGGTGCTGTTGCACCAAAAGCAGCATCCGTACTTTTGGCGGAGCTTGTATTGTTCCTCCATAAGATGGAACTTCGTCCATGGCTGGTTCGGCTGTCCAGCTTGCGACGTCGACGCTGATTTTTCCTTCTTCTTTCATGTGTTGATGCGTCGTGGAGGAAGGGCATTGATTTGGTCCCCTTCACTTGACACGGGAGTCGATGTCTGGTCTTCTACTTGTCTGCTTGATTGGACTGCAGCGACGGGCTGCGTCCGTTTCCCCTTGCCTTTGTCCACAAAGTTCGGTTGGACTTGTCGTTTGTTGGCGGCCCGCCGGTTGGTTTGGATGATGGCGCGGGCACACTTGACAATGGCCTCAAAGTCAGCGTACTCCTCTTGTTCGAGTGTCGGTGTCAAGGAGTTGGTTGACCGCTAGAAGAACTTGTGTCGAATGTGCTCAAACGGCAGGTTCAAGTCCGGAACGACAACTATCTTTTGCCATTTAGTCAGCCAATTGGCGCGTAGGCTGACTCCCTTGATACGTTTGGAACACTTGGTTTGCAGCCTTCGTCGTCGTGTCTTGTACGATGAACCGGTGTAGGGCCAAACCCCGATAGACTTTCGAGCCTTTGTGGACCCCATTGCGGGTCCCAGTTGGCTCTGCTCTGTCCGATCTCATGCTCAGGGCGCAGAGCGTTCGTCACAGGGCCACCCCCACCTAGTGTTTGCGATGGACGGGGATGGGCTATTTTGCGAGAGAGCTTCGACATTGGGAATGTAACTCCGCCCTCTCGACGGATGGTAGACCCGCCAAACCTTTCCATTAATCGCAATGTTGTAAATCAAGCAATATGCAGATCCACATGTTGTAGATAAAGCTAGGCTCAAGCTTGACAAGCTCAAGCATAGTTTGCAGCAGTACATTACTGAGTTTTTTGCTACTCCTGACTTGGAAATGACTGCGCAGTCTTGCTTGGATCTGGTTAAAGGTACAATTCCCTCTACTCTATCCCATCGCCTGGGGCTTAGACTCGCAGACTATACATGTTGGCTTTCCCTCGTGCGGGATTTAATCAAACTACAGGCACCAGACCTCTCGAGTGGATCAAGTGGCAAAAAGTCCACGGGTTGCAAACGATTTTTGGAGCAGCAACCGTTTTGTTGCACATGATCTGCTAAAGGTTGACGAGGAGACCTTTGCATAGGAATCTTCTCTTGGTGACGACCAAGAGCAACGACCAAGAGCAACGACCAAGAGCAATGCCCACGAGTTTGATCTGGTTTATGAAGAAGAAAGTTTAATGCCTTTAATAAGTCTATCAAATACAGCAAGAGTCTTAACCGGAGCTCGACGAAGAACACTCTTCATCTCTCTAAAGGAGCCAAAACCCCAGCTAAACCAGAGGGTGCAACAACCGAACCTTGGTTGATCTCCGGATTAGCGAAAGTGAATGGAGAAATAGGCTCAAGAGGAATGTTCGCCTGCGTTGCCAGAGATTTTGGCACACAGTTGACAAGTGTTTTCAGCTGCAGGGAAACCAGCAACGGGTGTAGGGTTGTTGTTAGCACACTCTACCTCAAGAGAGGTTGAACTGGTAAGCGGTAATCCCTCTATGGGATCTGGTTCTGTTCAGTAGCCTTCTCTCGATGCCCCTTCATCTGCTGATTCCATGGCTAATGCAGATCGACTCTTATACGTCGAGCCTTGGGAGGAGCCGAAGGAGATCAACTACCACCTAGAGCATTCGGATGAGATGAAACAACAGTGTGCTCAAGGGACAACAAAGTTGTTCTTCTTTGAACTTCTTATCAACCACCGCTACCTCCGTGTCTTGGTTAATTGTGCATCTACTACTAACTCGTTTCCTCCACACGGAGTTCGCAAGGTGGGTTTGGGAATGAAGCAAGTGGAACCGCAGAACCCATGTTGGACCCAAGTTGGCAACCAAGAGGTTGTCGTTTCCACGCATGTAATCAAAGGTGTGCACACTACCTTTGACATGGAGAAAACCGTCACACACGCATTGAATTTCTATACACTCGATAAGTGTCCTTTCGATGCAGTTCTTGGTGTGGGCTGGTTGATATCCCAATGTGTCAAAACTGTGTGGGCAAATTCACTTTCCGTAGTGCTAGATGCCTTGGGGAATGGCTAAGGCGCGTGAGTCCCCCGTAACTCTTCTCAATGCCATGTGTTTCTGCAAAAAGTGGCGCAGGCGCAAAGAGGATGAACAGTTGTACATAAGCTTTGTTCGCCATAGCCTTCTACTTTTGCACAAGTACTACCTCTACTTTACATGTTGGTTCTACTTCTAATATATCTACTTCTACTTCTTCTCCATCTACTTCTAGTCCAATTGAGTCCACTTCAAATTATGTTGTGTTGGCTGCCGGCTTGCAGCCTGACTTACCTGCACCTGATTTTGATTGTCCACCTCCAAAAATTCCAGCAAACATTCAAAGCCTTCTCAACTGATTTTAAGAAGTTCGGGCCGAACCACGTGGAGTTCTCATGCGTTCAGTCAAGCACAAGATCGAGTTGATCGAAGGCCGCGTTCCTCCAAAGGGTTGTGTACAGTATGAGACCCCGCGAGTTGGAGGAATTGCAGAGGCAGATTGGCGACATGATTGACAAGGGATGGATTAAGCCCAACGAATATGAATTTGGTGCACCGATTCTGCTTGTTCCTAAGAAGGGAGGAAAACTCCGGATGTGTATCGACTATCGAGGACTAAATCGAATCGCTAAGAAAAATGCATATCCTTTGCCACGTATCGATGACTTGCTCCATGTTGCATGTGAGTGCAAGGTTTTCTCCAAAGTTGATCTCAAGCCTGGTTACCACCAGATTGAAATCGATCCTGCAAACCAGAATAAGAGTGCATTCACGACCCGCGATGGGCTGTACGAATTTACTGTTATGCTCTTCGATCTCACGAATCCGTGGGCCGCCTTTCAATGCCTCGTGGACAAGGCTTTTTGTGAACAGATCGATCGATTTATTGTTGTCTACCTTGATGACATCTTGATCTTCAGCAAATCCATGGAGGAACACGTGAGACATCTTGAGGAGGTGTTCAACATCCTCAAAAAAACGCAGCTCCAATCTGAGTTTGGAAGGGACAGCGTCATCTACCTTGGGCACCGGTTGTCTGCTGCTGGCCTTGAGCATGAGGCAACCAAAATTGAGATCATTCGCAAATGGCCTCAGTCGTTGAACATTCACGAAGTGCGTTCTTTCCTTGGTCTTGCATCAAAGACAAACAAAGATAGCCAGCTAGCTAGAGACAGAAAGCCAAACATATATATATATATATACATATACATATATCGTCGCAAACAGAACTGCCCGGTAAAACCGTAGGCAGAGAGAGAGAAGAGGACAACAAACGAGGGGACATATATATATACACACAGAGAGAGAGAGAGAGAGGGTGGGGGGGAGATTGGACAGCCATAAAAGCAGAAAATAAGAAAAAGAGAAAAGAAAGAGATTGGGCAGCCGTTCTCTTTATCAAACTTAGTAATTCTGATAATGTTGATACGATCTTGCTAAGACTACCGTCTTTACCCGAAAATAACGCCTGGGCGTTGTGTACGAATTCGTTTATAACACCTGGGCGTTATATTCATTAAATTTATGGTAACTTCGGTGAGGCCCCAAAATTCCAAAAAAATATATAATAAAAAAATATGTTGTCCAGGATTGCGATTCGACCAACGTTTGGCTGCGGGTCACTTCAGAATTCCTAATAAACTCGGAAATTAAAAAATAAAAACAACAAGTCCAACCAAAATATATCCCTTGGAACTCAAAACCCCATTCAACCCTCTTCAAAAACCATGTATACCCCCTTCCCCACCCTTTAAAACCCATGTATATTACCTCTTCAATGCACTCTGCCCATGGAACAATTGAATATAACGGCCGGGCATTCTATTTGAAGTGGCGTTCTATTTGAAAAAAGTGAGTAAAAACGAAAATCTCATATTTTTAGGGTAAGTTGAATATAACGCCCGGGCGTTATTTTCGGGTGAAGACGGTAGTACATTTCATAAACCTGTACAGCCTGATCCTAAGCCATACCCACGCACTCTCCAACTCTTCCCTAGATAATCTGAAAATCTTTCTAAATGGACAACTATTAACCAGGTGACCGACAACAAAATTGTAGGCTTCAACACAAAAAAGCACAGAAATGTTCCATACCTGAAGGACATCGCCAGATCGAGTACCTGCATATACAAACTCGTCCTCATCGTCAATCACCTGAACACAACCACAAGAAGACAAACATTGGAGTAAGCCACCTGTCACAGGTGAGAGGCTTCCTCGCATACATGTGCTGAGGAAAAGAGTGAGTTTGCAACTACAAACAGAACTGTTGCAGCTAACTCATTTTCCAAATCTGACAGCGGCCACTCTCAGATGTTTTCACAGCAGTGTGACCCGACAGAAATGTGGGACTGGCGTATGTGAGAAGGAAGAACCACAGTAATCTCTCTTTCATTTCGCCAACAACCAGGGGATGAGGACTTTGGGGAGGAGGGGTAAGAGGCAGCTGAGGAGGAGAGGGATGCAGAGGTGGGAGAGGCGGGGGAGGCCAGAGGAGGAGGGGAGCAGGGGAGGAGAGAGAGAGGTGAGAGGATGGAAGGGGGCAGAGGGGAAGGGCGGGCCAGGAGGAGGAGAAGGGGGTTGAAGGGGAAGAAGGGAAATGAAGGGGGGAGGAGGAGTGAAAGAAGGGGGAGAAGGGAAATGAAGAGGGGAGGAGGAGTGAAAGAAGGGGGTGAAGGGGAAGGAAGAGGGGGAGGAGTGGGGGAAAGTGGAGAGAAGAAAGGGGAGAATATAAGGAAGGAGAGAGGAGAGGGGAGAAAGTGGGAAGGAAGGAAATGATGAGGAGGGAAGACGCAAGGCAAAGGAGGGGAAGGAAGGAGAGGAGTCCGAGGAAGCCAGAAGAGGGGTGGGAGGAGGGCTGGAGCTGCGGAGAAGCCAAAATCTTTCCCAGCACGACACATTAAGTCTAGTGGGAAATTTGAGCCGATTGGATAACTTTTGTGTGATGAGCTTGGTGAGTTAGGCTGATATGCCACATAAATTGTGTGTCTATTTGTCTGAATATGCATGACAATGCATGCTCTTTGTCCTTTCTAGCACCACCAGCAGCAGCACCAGCAGCAGCAGCAGCAGCAGCACCACCACCACCACCACCACCACCAACAACAACAACAACAACAACAACAACACCAACACCAACACCAACACCAACACCAACAACACCAACAACAACACCATCACCACCACCACCACCACCAACACCAACACCACCACCAACACCAACACCAACACCAACACCACCACCAACACCACCACCACCACCACCACCACCAACACCACCACCAACAACAACAACAACAACAACAACAACAACAA